GCTTATCAAGGGCTTCTTATATTACTCTCGCTCCCTTAGTGACATCATCCAGCCTTGATGCTTCCAGTGCTGATGGCTTCCAAATGTACATCTCTACCCAGGCCTTTCTGCAAACTCCAGACTCAGATATGTGGCTTTATACTTGACATCTACACTGAATGTCTAATAACCTCAAATTTAACATATCCAAAGTGAACTCTTATTTGTCTCCCCAAACTAGTTCCTTCTGCAGTCTTCCTCATCTCAGTTGATGGCAACTCTATTTTTCCCAGTGGCTCAGGGCCAAAGCCTTGTAGTCATTCTTGAGTTCTCGCTTTCTCACACCTACATTCAATCTATCATGGAATCATGTTGGTTCTACCTTTAAAATATATCTAAAATCTGCCTGTTGTTATACAAAAACAAACAAATCAGTCTTAGAAGAAATAAAACCAGAATGTTCCTTAGAAGCGAGGATAGCAAAACTTCGTCTTTCTTAATTTAGACATGTCGTCAGGAAAGATCAATCGCTAGAAAAGGTCATAATGTTTGGTAAAGTAGAGGGTCAGTGAAAACAAGGGAAACCCTCAATGAACTGATACAAATAGCTGCAACAGTGGACTCAAATGTACCAACGATCATGAAGATGGTGCATTGCTTGGGACATTCTGAATTTGTATTGCTTGCTCAAGATTAACCAGTGAACAGATCTCTTTTTTACAGAATTGTATCATGACAACTAAACTCCCATACTAGCATAGTACCTGGCATATGTAGTTGTTGTCGGATGCCATCGAGTCAGTTCCAACTCATAGCAACTCCATGTGACCCAGAAGAAATGCCCCATAGGGTTTTCTTGGCTATAATCTTTATGGAAGCAGATTGCCAGGTCTTTGTCCTGCAGAACTGCTGGGTGGGTTCTAATCTCTGACCTTTTGGTTAGCAACTGAGTGCTTAACCATTGTACCACCAGGGCTCCGTACTTGCCATATAAAAACAAAAAAAACAAACCCGTTGCCATAGACTCAATTCCGACTTGTAGCCACCCTAGAGGACAGAGTAGAACTGCCCCTAGGGTTTCCTAGAAGCAGCTGGTGGATTCGAACTGCCAGCCTTTTGGTTAGCAGCTGTAGCTCTTAACCACTGCACCACCAGGACTCCATTTGCCATATAGTAGGTGCTAAAAAAATGTATTTAACTAATTAATTTGGAAAAAACGGAGCACAACTAAATCTGTAGGTATGGCCAACATAAATCATAAGAGACCATCTAAAACAGGTGGTTTATTGTGTAAATTTACTTTTTACCTTTTATGAAGAAATGAACCAGAATTTACAATTGTTTTAGTTTCTGTCTAAATATTTGATTTCTTTATGAGAAGTTTCAGGATACTTTTTCCAGTTCCACATATAACACCACCTCCCCCGCCCCCCTCCACACACATACAGACACAGGTGGTAACTGAAATGGATCCTGAGAACTCCCAAAGCAGAGACTCCCAGTAGCTCAAACCTGGGCTGAGAGGCAAGCAGAGCGGCTCTGCTTTTCCACATTGCCTAACGTTAGAGTGCTAACGAGTCCTTTGGCATCAATTGTTTTTGACAATAAAGTTTGAAATAAAAATAAGGAAAACAACAACATTAACAATAATAATATTAACAATAGAAGTAGCAACATCACTGATAGTTACAACCACCATTTAATGAAAACCCATCATCTGCCAGGTTCTCCTCTTGTACTTTACGTGCATGTCTCAGTTATCACCTTAAGAGGGGCTTTTGTTCGATAGATGAGGTCATAGAGGGTATAAGAGCTTGCCTAAATTGTACCCAATCTTTTTGTATCTTTTTATTATTATTAAAATGCCTCTTTGATTCATTGAACCACAACAGTCATTCATTCCTTCAACATTTAGTGGTTTCTGGGCGCTGAATGTATCTCGAGTGGTAGTTGATTTCCCAACTTTGGAAAGTGAGCAGTTGATTTTCTACTTACTGGTAGGATCACATGTTTAGATTTGTTTTTTCCATGAAAGAGTTTAAGATTCTCTGCTCCCACTGGTGAAGTTCTTGTTTCATCAGTAGAATGGGAGCTACTCCATTCTCGGGTTCTCTTGCCCAATATTTAACAACCAACCTCTTGGCTACCATGTGGGAAAGGTAAGCGCCACAGAGCATAGAGTGACTCAAGGATAGACTACAAATGAGCTATCTTTGAAAGAATACAGCAAGGGTTGGCGCAAGTTCTAGTACTCCCCAGTCTCCCGGGTGACTCCTGCAGTGCCCATTCAAAGCCTCAGAATCCTTTTCAGCAGATTGCTCCAGGCAACCACTCCCAACATATTGGAGTATTTTCCAAACATAAAAATGGTTGCCTTCAAGTCAGTTCCCACTTACGGTGACACCATGTGTGTCAGAGTAGAACTGTGCTCCATAAGTTTTTCAATGGCTGATTTTTTGGAAGTAGATCACCAGGCTTTTCTTCCGAGGTGCTTCTGGGTGGACTCGAACCTCCAGACTTTCAGCTAGCAGCAGAGTGCGTTAACTGTTTGTACCACTCAGGGACCCCATTTCCAGACATAGGATATTGTTATTCTTAGCGACTTGGCCACTGTCCTTTGGTTTTTAGCTTTTAGTAGTTCTGTGTTTTATTCAATCTTTGACTGCAGTTCCATCACCTTTGGATTTTTGTTTTGCAGAAAAAAGTGTGAAAGAAAAGACTGTGAAGTACATGGAAATGCTTGAGGATAAACTGCACAGGTAAGGATAACAATTACTTATTACAGACCCCACGGAGCGTCTGGATTTGTTGTTGTTACAGAATTTAGTTTAACTTTAAGCTAACAACAACAAAAAGGGCTTGCCTATTTCTATAATAAATTAACAAAGAAAAGCACTAAAAGGAGTCCTTTGAATTCAGTGGGGGAAGGAGCAGGTGTCATACAAACATCTCCCAGCTCTTGACTCCTCTTTTAAAAAGTAAATAGATTAAAGTTCTTGGGGAGATCACAAGACAGTTTTAATGTTCCATAGAAGCAGAAGAATTTCTTTGCGTGTTAAATTTGGAATTCATGCATTGGTCTGTTTTTCCTTTGTTTTCAGTGTCTGAGGGGGTCGTAAGGATTTTGAACTGGCTTATACAATGTTCTGGAACAATATAAAAATGCATGTCTTAGGTTCTGTTTTGAAGCCTGAATCAAAACCAGCGTGAAAATTCCTAGCTGGTTTTTCTTCCTTTAACCCAATTAGGAATTCAGATTTGAGAAATGTTAGGGATGCTGTAGCATGTCAAAATGTTTCTGGTTTTTGTGGCTACGTAGTTAGGAAAATAAATTCCAGCCAGTGGGATCTGTTCCTAATTAAGGAAGCAAGTACTAGAATGTAATATATGCTTTCTTTTCTGGGAGTCATTTAGTTGTATGGAGACTGTTTTGCTACTATTTTGGAAATAGTTAACACGTTAGATATGCCATGCCTTAAACTTTTGCTAAGATAATGCCGTTGGCCAAAACATTGCTTCTGCCTTAAGAGATGTTAAGAGAGGCTGCATTGTTCAGTGCTACTCTGCAGGATAAGGAAAGTACTGCAGCATTTGTTTCTAATGCTTGGAAAGTAAGTCTGACTTACCCCCTCTTCCCCCAATTTGGGAAGGAACTATGATGAAGGTAGTTAGTAGAGAGGAGGGTGCACAAATAAGAGAAAGTCTCTCAGGAAGTGCCTCTCTCCATCAGAAAGTACCAGTACCAGTTGCTGTCAAGTTGATTCTGACTTTTGGTGACTCTGTGTATGTCAGAGTAGAGCTGTGCTCCATAGAGTTTTCAGTGGTTGATTCTTCAGAAGTAGATCACCATGCCTTTCTTCTGAAGCTCTCCTGGGTAGACCTGAACCTCCAATCTTTGGGTTAGCAGCTGAGCATGTGAAGTGTTTGCATCACCCAGGGACACCCCTCAGAAAGTAGGACAATACTTACCTGGGCCAGGTGCCCTGATTTGAATTTGGCCTTCCTCTTTTCCCATCGTATTCTGAGGTATGTTCCTGGCTTATCCCTCTTGGTCTTAACTCCAGCTACCATTTTTTAGCCATAATCACTACACACAAGTTCCATTAGGTTATTGGGCAGCAAGTTGTAATAGTAAAAACATGGGTATTGGCAGAAAGATATCTATTTAAATTGCAACTCTCTCACGTCTAAACTGCATACCCTTAGACAAACTCAACTTTCAATGTCTTTAACTATACAACTGGAATAAGGATACCTACCCTCCAGGGCCAGTGTGTGGACAGAATTAAATGTTGTCTGTAAAACACTCACACAGTTGGTAGTCTCTAAATGTTATCCCTTCACCTCCTGGTTCTGCTGATTTTCCCTCACTTCAAAACTGACTGAGCAGTCCTGTCCAGAACTGAACTTGTCCTCTGTACTCCCAGTCGGCCCCTCCCCCTGTGAGCCCAGCCCAACGAATGGTCCCACCCCCACCTGGTTGCTTATGCTAGAACCGTGGATGCGTGTTGAGTCCCCTTTCCCTCACCTCCCACTGACAGTTGCCAAGTCCTATCTCTCTACACCTTTCACATCTCTCAAGCTCATCAGCTTTAACCATGGGCTGTCTTCTCTCCCCTGAATGACCATACGAGCTGCTTTTACTGCTTTCCTGTCTTCGGTCTTGCTCTTACCACTCCGTTCTCCAGGCAGTCTTGAGTGAGCATCTTAAAATACAAACCTGGTCATTACACTCTCTGCTTAAAATCATCCAGTGGCTCCCCATTGCCCAAGGATAAAGCCTAAGCATCTCACCCTGGCTCACAGCACTATTCCCTCTGGTCTCTGTGTGCCCTCGAGTGTCATCCATCAACATCCCACCACTCAGCCAGCTAACTCTCAGATTTCCCAGTGCTTCTCTGTGTTTTTTTTTTTCCTTCTGGAAATTAAACTATGATTTTAAACATTTAGGAGAGGAAATGATCAAGGGATGTTATCCAGGAAAATATCGGATTGAACCGTATGAAGTGACTGTTATTCGACCAGTTTTTGACCTAGGAAAATGGCAATTTCATATGATTCAACCCAGTACTTAGGGATTTAAAGTAATCTTCAGGTGGGTCAGAAGCTCTGGCCTGAGATTGACCAGACTGCTTTCACGTGGGACACTGGATGCTCATCCATCATTTTTAGCGTCTCTTCTTTGAAAACTTCCACAGCTCCCCCAGGCCGAGGAACGTGCTCTCATAGAATCATTCTCATGTTCAAAGTGCTTAATATCAGTATTGTAAGACTAAGTCTATCTTGTTCAGAACTGTATCTTCAGGTATTTGACAGTTCTGAACAGTGTGTGAGTACCCAATAAATATTTGTGGAATGAATGTTTGAGTAAATGAATAAAGGAATGCAACTAATTTATACACACCCCAGTGTCAACTTTCATCCCCTCCACCTCTCTTCCTGCCCCTTCAGCAGGGTTGATGCTTCAAAGCCACTGTGTTCCTGACTTCTCAGTTCACGTTATATTAGTTACCTAGGACTCCCTCAGAAGTCTCAGATGACTAGGATGGTGGCTGACCTCTCTCACATGCCTACTTCCTGAGGGCTCTTTCCATTGCTATTACAAGCTGTTAAGACACCTGGCTCAGATATGTTTGAACTGGTGGTTGTTGTTGGGTGCCATCGAGTCATTTCCGATTCCTAGTGACGCTAGGTACGATAGAACGAAACACTGCCTGGTTTTGTGCCATCCCTATAATCATTGCTGTGTCTGAGCCCATTGTTGCAGTAGAGACAATGGAAAAAGGAAGAAAAAAGCAGCAGAGATCTGTAGCCGCTCTGGTAATGCACAGAGTATCAGACAGAGTCTAGGGAGCTGGTGTACCTTGAGGTGTGTGCAGGTAGTATTGTTTATTGCAGCCTTAGCACAGAAAGCCAGAGTGGATACTATAGAATGTATGACAATTGTCAGGCCCTATTTCTGACTGCCTTCCTTCCCACCAGGCCTCAGTAGTGATGGTTGTTATTGGATACTTCATGGGCTGTAGTGATGATCTGTCACACTCAACAGTTCCTTTCCAAGGAAATCAACATCTTATAACATAAAAAAGTTTTTAGCACCAGGTACAGTTTGTCTTATAGTGGCTGCTCAATTGATATTGTAAGATATTGACTAAAGCAAGATAATAAATACTGATGAATATCTCTGTCATTCATTCTCACTGTCTGTAGCATCTCTTGGTCTAGCAGTGGTTTAGGAAGAAAGTGCTTGAGAACTGAACAGATTGCTCATTTTCCCTTAGAACAGTATAGAGGATACACTTAAAAAGATCAGGGCTACAGCAAGATTTGGATATGGCCAGTCATGGTTTTGGAGACAATTCCAAATGAGGCAACAACAATGTATTTGTTACTATCTCAAAGTACGCAAAGAGCTGGAGACCCTAGTAACCTAGACTTAGATGACTCAATGTCTCTCTTTGATGAACTCTTCTCCTGCTGTCTAATTCCCCTTACCTGTAGCCAAATAGCCAGGGCAGTGGCTGCAATTCAGAGTTATGTAGTCATTTCACAGATCCATTCCCTGCTGCTTTTGTCTCCATTCCCACTGTTACTACCTTTGACTTGGCCCATTCAATAGTCCTCCAACAATCTTGCTCCCACTGGCTTCACACCATGTCAGTCCACTCTTCACCCACAGCCAGAGCTTACAATCCTTCTAGGATCCCTTTTGCATCCAGGACGAACCCCACAAACCTTACCATGCCACCCAGTGCTCTCCATGAGGTTGCTTATGAGGTACTCCAGCCTCATCTGTAGTCTGTATCTACACAGAGAGCCTAGTGCTTCAGACCAGCCATATTGCTTCAGTTCCCCATGCTCCACTGCAGGGCCTTTGTTACAATGCTCCCTTACTGGGAAGCCCTCTCCACTCACCCCTGGGCACACACTCACTCAGCACTCAGCACAACGGTCTCTTCCCCATGAAGCCTTTCTGGCCTCCACATGTTTCCTTCCTGGTACCTGCCGTGGGTAGCCACTTACAACAATTTGTTGCAATGACTTCTGTCTGTCTAATTCTGTTAGACCGTGAGCTCCTTGAAAATGGGTCCCATGTCTTACAAGTCTTGTATACCAAGTGGCTAGCAAGCTGTCTGGCATGTGCTAAACCTTCAATAAAATTATACTGACTGCAAGATGAATGAATGAAGAGCAATTACATCTTGAAATCTTATTCTCAAATATTAGATTCAAAGAGTGAAGGCAGTCTAAGAAGTTATAACGCCCTAGAAATCCATTTGTCTTGCCTTCAAATCTTAGTGGTATATTATCGAATAGGAAAAAAAAAAATCTACTCTTAAAGAGCTTACTTCACTTATTCACTCAGGCTTACTGTTTCCAGAGGTTTTAGTTGAGCATATTTGGGCCTAGCTGATTTCCCCTTACAGGCAAACCCTGCATTAATTTCTATTTTCTCAATTACTACACATTCTTTGTTAGCTATCTCTTTCAAAGAGTTAAAACAAATATTGAAAAGTCTTTCCTTTGTAGATGGGTTAAAATTTTTCTTGATCTTGTATTGCTAAACACTGTATGGTAGAAATTCACTATTGTCCAATGGCAAACTCATGTCTCTGGCACGTGTGGAATCCAGCCCAGAGGATGGGTATTTTGGTTCAGTTTAAATCTGTGGAATCTCTTGTATACATGACTAAGAGGAAAATTTCTTTTTAAAAATCTCTAGATTTTATCTCCACTTTTTTTCCCCCTGAAATCAAAT